AATACGTATATTCATTCAAACTTTATTTTTCTTATCAATATAATTGATTTTTATGTCTGATTCCAGTAAATAAAATAGGAAAAGAGAAGCGAAAGATACCAAAGGGACATTGAAACTCATAAGTCGAAAATAAATTGACAACGTCATGGCAAAAAAAAGAAACAGACCAAAAGAAAAACAACAGTATACAAAACACCACATAGAAAACTAACGACTGAGCAACACGAACCCCACAAAAAATCCTGGGGTGATCTCAGGTGCTCCGGAAAGGTAAGCAGATCTTGCTCCAAATGTGACACCTGTCGTGTTGCTCATGTTAGAAAAAACCGGTTTTAAGTCTAATTCGGTAGGTCACATTCGGGGAAAAGGAGGACGGGACTTAAGTTACGAAGATTGGGACATATCCGTCGTCATTTGTGAAACAAATATTCCATAACGGTCAACCAACTTGTGATGATGTCCGTAAAATTTTTGAAGGGATGATTTCAACTTCACCACTTGGAACTCTTGGTTTAATAGATTCCTTGTGAGCAGCAAACCTCTATCAAAGAAATCTTGATAGGAAATGCATGCCCTTGAAAATTGTATCAACTTGGAGATATATATATAGTCTATATGCAGGCGCTGCTGGAATGTTCCTACGTAGAAATAGAAAGTTCACGATTGGGCATCTCTTTTGCCGTAAAGTAAGGTAAATATCAATCCCATAGCACAATCAGACATATAGCCTACATGTATCAAAAGAAAAAGAAAAGTTTAGGACTCAACATATAGTCTCCAACAAAAACAATGTCCAGTTCTAAATCCCTCTGAACCATGTGTTTTTATATAAAACAGAGACTTCTGAAAGTCTTTATGTTTATTGATTAATGACTGAATGAATAAATTGGTGGATGAATGGGTTTGTATGAAACGTCCAGTGGCAAATATGCAGGACGATTAATGTGTTATGAATAGGCATCCTGCTTTGCATTTCAGCAACACTATATGTAGAATTTAGACGTACTCGTTCATAAGGTAACAGTGCGCGGAAAGAAATCTTATCTGGACACATTAGTTTGACTCCAAGCCGACGAGTCTTTGGTCTTACTCCTAAATGCCTCTTGCTTAATAGTAATGCAGCATACTCTAATTTTCAAGTCTTTGGTTCGACCTTGTCGGGGATTGACCCTAAGGCTTCCATCACCCGTGGTGAGTTCATTACCACGTGACCATCGAGGCGGACCATATTTATAGAATAAAACATTCCTTGATATAAAAAAAGTCAGAAGTTGTTTAAAATTTCTGTTAGCTTGACGAATCGATTTACATAAATAAAGGCAACAGTAGTATACCGCTGTTCGAAACTCATAAATCGATAGAGATAAAAACAAATCCTGGTTACAAACTTAAACTGAGGGAAACGCATCAAATATAAGAGGAGATCAACGACACAACAAAAACACAACATTAAAATGTAACACACACAGAAACGAACTATAATATAACAATGGCCATTTTCCTGACTTGGTACAGGACATTTTAAGAAAAAAATGGTGGGTATATAAACTTTTGTAAAGAGCCGAATTTCAGAGATAAAACAGTTATAGTACCGTACCGTACCGTACTAATGTTTTTTTATCTCACTTTTCCAAAGGAAAGGTGAGCTTTTGCCATCACTTGGCGTCCGTCGTCGTCGTCTGTCCGGTGTAAACTATTTCAAACATCTTCTTCTCTGAAACTACTGAACCAATTTCAACCAAAATTAAGCTGAATGATCTTTAGGGTATCTAGAATAAAGTTTGTGTTTTATTTTCTGTTTTGTCAAAAACATGGCCGCCATGGCTAAAAACATAGGGATAAAATGCAGATTTTGGCTTATGTCTCAAAATCTAAAGCATTTAGAACAAATCTGGCATGGAGTAAAAATGTTCATTATGTCAAGTTCTATCAGCCCTGAAATTTTCAGATGAATCTAACAACCCATTGTTGGGTTGCTGCCACTAAGTTGGTAATTTTATGGAAATTTTGCAGTTTTTGGTTATTGAATATTATTATAGATAAAGATAAACTGCAAAGAGCAAAAATGTTCAGCAAAGTAAGATCTACAAATCAGTTTTTATAAGACCAAAATTGTCAACTGACCCCTTAAGGAGTTATTGCCCTTTAAAGACAATTTTTCACAATTTGTTCATCTAGTTTGCTTACTTTAAAAAATCTCCTCCTTTGAAACTGCTGAATCAATTTCAGCCAAACTTGGGCTGAATGAGTTTCAGAGTATCTAGTATGAATTTTGTATCGTATTTCCTTGTACGTCAAGAGACATAGCCACTATGGCTAAAACAGAACATAGGAGTAGAATGCATTTGTGTTGCTTTTGAAGAAAATATGACAGATACAAAGAACATTTAAATGGCATGTTTAAGCCACTCATTAATTTATATTGAAAAGCAAAAAAAAATCATTGATGAAAGATTTAAGCAAAAAATTACAGGTGAGCGATTCAGGTTCTTGAGAGCCTCTTGTTTTTTTAAAGTTTTTTTCATTCAGAGTCATATGATTACATGAGTATGTGGCACACAGATGGAATTAACAAACGTAACAACACACAAAACACTATACTCCACGTTCAAGCATTATACATAAAGGTGTATTTACATATAAAAGACCTATTACAGTAGTTGCAATCACTGAATATTGTTTGTTTCCAATATATTTGCTTCATATCAAAAGTGGATAAAAGGAAGAAAAGGAAGGAATTATAAAAATATGAAGATGTGGTATGATTGACACTTAGACAGCTCTCCACCAGACACCAAATGCCATAGAAGTTAAGAAATGGCCACCGTACAACGAGCAAAACCCATACCGCATATTAAGCTATAAAAGGCCCCGAAATGACAAATGTAAAACAATCCAAACGAGAAAACTAATGGCCTGGTTTACATACAAAACATTAAACGTAAAAAAAAACATGATAAACAGTAACAAACGACAACCACTGAATTACTGGCTCCTGATTTGGGACAGGCACACAGAGAATGTGGCGGGGTTAATTGATAGCGTTTGATTTTGTCAGTTTTTAGGGACTTTTCCTTTTTGAATTTGCCTTAGAGGTCAGTATTTTTTATATACTTTTTTTCAAACATGTTTGCTAGTGCCATACCGTCCCGCTAACGTGGGACAGTGGTGTACCAGTACGACATAACAAGCTATAAAATCAGCTGAAATGGGCTAAACCTATCAGATTGATTCAAAGCACATACAAGTCCCCAATATAAGCACAAAAGACACAAAATGTAGATTTGAGAGTACTCGCGATCGCAGTTACTTTAAGGCCAAAGTTCAAAGCCAAATACAACTAATAAAAAATCATGTTTCTAAGACTAATATATCAATCAGTACACATCCAGCTTTGCATGATCGATATATATTTTATTTTTTATGTTAAAATGATTTCAAACCTTATATCTGTAATAAATCCCAAATTGTAACAAATTGTCCAAGAAATTATTGTTTTATATGTGAATATTTATCAAGTTATAAGAACTTTTGTCTTCAAGATTCGATCCATCGATCGAGAGATAATGAGATGTTTTAAAGATTTAAATTCAGATTAGAAGATTAATTATAATTTAGTTCCATTCAAATAAAGGGCTAACATTGCTACAAATATTTCGCCAGGACGCTTCAATAATTGGTCGACAACATTGCTACGATAGTGGCCGTGTTTTGCAACAGACTCTCGGCATTTCTACAGGAAACAATTTTTCATTATTCGTAGTAGCAGTAGACTACAAATGAAGAGTGGATAGTAGCTAGCATCATACTTTAGCTTCACGGTTCGCTTACTGAATAATTCAAAAATTGATGACCTAGTTAATAGCAAATATCACAATGAAATGTAAATAAAGGATTACAGAGATTAAGATCTTTCTTATATTTTTACTCACACCTACACACTTACAGTACTTGTCGCTTACAACCTAAACTAAGACAAAAGAGATGATAGCAAATTATACAGTGTGACCTTTCCCTTTGTATGTAGCAACACCCCAGCAGAACCAGCATATACACTGTCATAATAATAAAAGATTTCATATCCAAATTATATTTTTTTCATTAAACAATTGTTCTCAACAAATGTATGTTCAGTATAGTCTATAACTACACAATTAACAAATTAAAAAATCACTTAAATTTGGTTGTAAATGATTTTTATGTTCTGAATACTCTTTACACTTCAAGCTATTTATTTGCAAAGGTTTCATACGTGCACAAAATGATTATTTTGAATCTCTATGTACTGCTATTTGTAAAAACTATTCAAGCCAATTGGTATGGTGAAAGGACGAAACCTATCGAATATAAACTGTAATACATTTTACCTGTACTAAAAAATCAACATTTTATTTTTAATGTACAGATTTTGGTTTAAGCATATAGTTCACAAATTTTATTGGTAAATTTTATTGCCGATATAGTCGTTTTCTGTTTAAATAAAACTCCTATTTTGCATGTAAATCCCCAATGTTGATTGACGTAGTACAAAAGGTACTGATGACGTTTAAAAACTATTAATGCAATTGCAACATTATATCCTGCTCGATAGCTAAGGCATCAAAATGAATCAACAAAATATGGAATACATATGTTTTTGAAGTATTTTATTTTATCAAAAGCACATCCATATTATAAAATGTAAGGACAATAATCACGACTTTTTTGACTGATATGGAATATCTGTGTCTCAGATGGATGCAGATATAAGTCACTTGTCATTATCCCATTCCCACCGTTTTTCCTCGATTGTGACATTATCGTTGGTTTGTGTGTTTAACGACTTTGATTGGGTATACAGGCCTCGCATGGTCTTCTCGGTGCCCTTGATGACATTTAGTGAGCTGTAAATATTTTGTTGCCATTGTCAAAAGGTGATCAGCCAGCTGGAAGCGGCCATTTTGGTTTCACGTACGTTTTTGGTTTCTATACTATTTTGAGTTGGTTTATTGCTCTTCACAACGGCTGTTTTCAGGGACAAGGAGATCAACTGGGTAGTCCGCTAACCATGTCGATGCATTACTGGTCATGCATTCTAGACGTAGTAGTGAATGTCTGCAGGAAGCATGTTTAGGACCAAATATTTGAGACGGTGAAATGACGGTCCATCATCCAACACTACAGATAGAAGGCCCTCGGACGTCGGAGGGTAGCACACTCCACAATCCACAGTGGATTTTTGGAATGTATGCTGACGCAGACCTTTTTTGATAGCTGTACAGTGTTGAATTATCTTTCTGCAAGCATGGAATAGTACGTCGTTGGACCATTTAATAAACAGCTACATGTTGTAGTATGCAAATAATCAGGAGCTGACCAAACACGTCCGTTTAGCTGTAATGAATGAAGTTGAATGGACGAGTGATGTAATTGTGAATGGTGACATTATCGAATGCAACTTATCATCAATATTTACTTGCAATGAGTAATACGCCGTTGACATTTTTAGAGCTTGATCTTCTTACTCTTCAGGAAAACCTGTCCTTTATTGTGATTTCTTTAAGATAAAATAAATGCTAAAATAATTAGCTAATAACAATAAAAGGTTTGATAATTTGAAGATTTGCTATGTTTTCGATATGTTATACATATTAAATATAAAATTATGAAAAATAGACATTAAAAAAATATAAAGTTTATAATCAATACAAATATGTTAAAAGCATGAACTTTGAAAGTCCTCAAAATCACATTATCTATAAAACATTGGATTATACACATACCATTTTTGCATAATAATTAATGAACATGTTGTAGACACATTCCATTCAACTATTACTTACTTTAAACTTGAAACTGTTATTTCTCAAAGACCCTAACTGAGGAATTGTGAATACAAACAATTAGCACACACAAAACAAATTGTAATGCCTTGTGTGTCAAATACAATTTGTGTATAACGAGAATGATATTATTTTTTATGATTTTTTTATTGAATTTATTCATTAAATTTTATAGTGGTTGCTTTCTGAAAAAAATAGCAAATTGTGTCTTTCATTTTGAAAAAAAAATACATTCAAACAAATAACGGTATTCATCACAATACTATTTATATTACATATATCACATATACGATCGTCTCGACATATTCCCAAAATCGACCATGCTCAATTTCTAATCTATGGTTTCGACATCTATAATTACAGAACAGTTTTTCCAAAGTCATAAGAAAGTTTACTTAAATATTTTTCAAACTTAAGATTTGGATATTCGATAATTAAGACATTTAGCAGTACTCAATACCATGTCTGCTTAAATTGATCACACAGTCTTTGTTAAATCCTCCTAGCCAAGGCTATTTTTTACGTACACTTTGTGATAGCCAGTTTTCAGAAAAAGCCACTTCAGTACAAGAAATCAATTTAAAATGGAAAAAAAATGCTTTACATGCATGTTTTACAATAATTTGCAAAGTACAGCACACATTTCATTCATGCTTATTACATACTATTCATAACAAAAAGCTAGCATTCTACTTTTGATCAGAATATTAATAAGGAAATACCCAATTATCCGTATTATAACAAATTAAGTGCACTCTTCTTCAAACCAAGTACCATTTTATAGAATTGTAAACAAAAATATTTAAAAATATCACTATTGTCACAGCTCCATATCTCACAACTGGGGTTACCATTGTACTAAAAATATCTATTTGTCAATCAACAGGTAAATTCAACTTTCTACTTTACTTCAATATGTTATACGAAGCATTTTTACCTTTCTACCTACAACTTCGATTTGAAATTACAGAAAGAAGAATCTGACATTAATACATTACCTAAATATTTAAAAACATCAGCAATATCAATAACTTCATTATTATAAGTAAATACTAGATTAACATTATTTATTTACAATTTACAGTTTTTGGAGCATGAACCACAGTCATATAAGCTTTGCTCCCTTGTTATGTTTTAAGACAGAAATCGAACATCATAATTAAGATAAATGTTACAGTTTCACTTTGATTATGAATTTTATAAACATGTACATGGTGTAATTTGATTCCATTTACCTTGTCGCGGTAGGTTGCCAATTGAATATTAATACATTTATCCAACTTTTGCACCAATTAAAAATGATAATACAAATTACATGTATTTTCAATTATGTTTTATACAAACACTGGTTTAAAAGCATGGTTGAATTTTCTGGAAAGACAGTTCTTTAACAACCAACCTAAAATGAATTTTAAAAAATCAATAGTGACTTATTTCAGGTATACTGATGTGTGTACTATCATCTACTTGCATATTGCATAAACATCATAATTCATAGGTTCATATCATTAGAGTCAGTAAGTCGACCTTGTCTTTTGATTGTTTTGTGTCATTCGTTACTATTTTTTTCTTTGAATGAACAAAGGTGAAATATGATCAGAAGATCATATTCATGCCATTGTATTTGAATATTGGGTATTGTTTTAATTATAATTCTGGATAGGATAAAATTGAAACTATGATATCCAAATTAATAATATTTTTTGTAACATTTAATTACATTACAACATCAGGGTGATAAATTATAATGGTAATAAAAATATTACCCAATAATAGTACAAGATTGAGTCTTTTAGAAAATCTGTATGCTTATGGGGCAGTTATATTTACCTGTGATTATTACAATAAATACCAGCGTAATACTGATTATTACAGTAACTATTAACACAGCATCTCCTACATGTCTATCTTTAATGCATCTGTTCGTCCAACCTAAAAGATCATTTTAGATTTTTTTTTAACTTAAATTAAAGGAGGAGGTATGGAAAAAGCTACTATTTGGCTCCTGAAATAGTAAACATAGTAAAGTTATTCAAGTCTTTCAAATAATGTTAATTTTATTTATAAATGAACAGGCTGAAATAATCTGGATAGTGCAGAAAGGTCACTTGTGATGTCGCGACGATGTCACAAACATGTAATATTAGACCTAAAATGGTCATTTTACATGTTGTTTTCGGTCAAAATAGTAATGAGCAACAACCAAAAGATATATTTTACACATAATTGAATCTATATATGTAACATACATTTTGTAGCAAAATAGCTGTTGCTCATATCTAAATATTAATTACAAGATCTCAAAATGGGGATATTTTGGCTGTTTTGCACAAATTGCAAGGATTTTAAAGACATAATGTGAAAATGCAAGACAATATATTAAACTATAGATACTGATGGCTGATAGGCTCATGTCTTGTGAAAATTCAAATCCTGCTATTTGGATGATTTATAATATTTTTTTTTATTTTCGATTTGAGGGGGGCATCAAAACTTCTCCTATCCCAAAATAACAGAATGATGTTTACATAAAAATGTACCATTTTTCTAGATGTTACTATACGGGTAAATATAGCAAAAATTACGAGAAAGGTCAAGGGATTATTGCTAGTACTAATATATGGAATTTCTTTTTGGTTTTGACCTGTTTCATTTATTTTTCAAACATCATAAATAATATCCTTTTAATTTCTGTAATATGTTTTAAACATATTTTGGCGGCTATTTGTTTTATAACAAATTGAAAAAATTCAGACAGAAAATGTTGAATTATTCGAAACACTAAGGATTTTCTGCCCCCAAGGCATAAATTGCCTTAGCCGTATTTGGCACAAATTTTTCGGAATTTTCGGGTTTTAATGATTATCTGATTTGACCTTTCAATTGCTCGAGCGCCACTGATGAGACTTATATAGATGAAGTGCGTGTCTGGACTACCACATTCTAAACTCTGGTATCGTTGATAAGTTTTCACCGGATAGTTTTAATTTTTGTTAAGCACACTGCAATCTATATCCTAAATGCATACATCATTCGGTTATACATGTACCTTGCAAAAATACATTGTATATGTTTTTCTACAATATATATATATAAAAAATGCTGTAGTATTGTAAGTTATGTCTATCGTCATTACATTCACCCGAAATTGGATAATTGAGAATGGATCACAATAATCGGCAACGTTAGTTTCCCGAGAAAAACCAAGCCAAAAAAACCTGAAGGAATAGCATGAACTCAAAAATGGACGTTACAGGCTTATCGCCTCCTATCATGCGTGCAATATTCCTCATTGAAATCGTGACTCACAAAACCACATGACCAGATGATTGCACTACAGCATTTATTGAAACACGACACTTATTCATTCGAACATTTTTATTTAGATATTGTAACCGAACGACAAACTTGTTTTATCTAAATAAAAAAAAAACATTATCAAGAACCATGAAATTTCGTACTGTTTACTATGAATTTGACTTAATCGTGAGGTTATGATTTGCATGGATTTCGTAGGGATAGGTTAACCACGAACGTATGTGTTTAGCAACATGCAAATAACATCTGAATAAATCATTTGTGAAAATAACGAAAGAAAATACTATTTTTCAGCAACTTTAACAATCGGTAACTTCACAAATAAGTCCATCTACGGTACTGTGTAGTTAGAAGTGTCAGAGTCTGGTTACTGTTGGAAAATATTTAGTCATAATTTGATGTTTTGAAATTTTGAATTACTCAGTATAACATTTACTCAATTCATTTTGTCTTTTTCTGTTGTAATATTTCACCCGTTGTCTTCTCAGTATAAAAGCATATAACAGACAGAAAATGGTATGGCATTGTTGAATTTCGACAAGTTTTGAGCACGAAACAATCGAAAAGAGTGTCAATCAACAAAAACAGGCAGACAGTAAAAGTAAAAATTGGCTACAAAAATACTATTCCTTCTTCAAGTAAAATTTGAAAAGAGCTTCTTTTTGCTCTTTCTCTGTAATCATCAGACTGACATTACTTACTATTATTAGATGAAGGTAAGTCAATGGATACTGTTTCCTTTCCTAAAGCACAATACGCACTAATGTTGTTTTCACACATATCTTCACTTATCACGAGAGTCATTTGTACGTTGTAAAGTTCGCTGTTTTCTTCTAAGGAAATATTACCTTCAATTTTCTCCTTCTATAATGAAAAAAAAAAGAAATTATAACTTTAATTTGACAAGAATAATTTCGATTTCTTTCATTATCGGCTGTCTATTTCAGCAAATGTATTATTTATTTAATATCTTGAATTTTTATCAATGTGTTCAGGAAATACACATATCATCGGATAGTAAACAAAAAAGAGATTTTGGTTGAACCTAAGAAAACAATCATATAAAATATAAAATACTAGTTATCAATACCGACGCTTTCGTAACAGTTCTGACATTATAGTAGATGTTTATTTATTTCAGTTTCATGACACAGACATTAAATAAATGGATTTGGATGGTAAGCAATAATTTTATTTTACTGTGTTCACTACATACTAACAACCATTCACTGAAGCAATGAACTAAAATATTTTATCAGTTGCTCAGTTTGTTTTTAAATGCAATTTGGTAAAACTGTTTAAGCAATTTCTAATGTGATAGGACAAATGCTGAATAAGCACAGTAATGTGAATTTTGGACTAGTCTTATAATAAGAAAACAGCATAATTCCTCAAAATATTGGTAATATATAAAATTATAATATTTGAACGCATATCCTATTCTTTCGAAACGTACTGTGATAACGCAGCACGCTAATCATTTCTTGTGCGGACGATATAGTCTTAAAGTATAGCACGTCACTGGTCAATATCACTTTTATATTCCTAAACTATTTACAAACCGATATATAAGAACGCAACTGGGACAAGTATATAATTTAGTATTAGGTAAACAATTTGATGAGTTCTAAATAATTTTATCAACATTGGGAAATAATATTGCTCTCTTGAATTGAACTTTTGAAATCCTGAACGGCTTTACTTCATCTAACAGTACCCTCGGCTTTATAAATGTATGTTGATTTAGTTGCAACATCTCCCCCCATTACAGTTCCATATCTTTTTGGCATTCACAGAACTAAAAAAATAACAAAAGTATAAACCTTTTACTTCTGTTTCAATTTCATCATTTGAAATAAATCTTTTCCTAAGAAATTACACACTGCAACTTATTTGTTTCTAAATTCATCAGTTATATTGATTACTGTTTGAAATTTATTGATATCAACCTTCGTTATATTGAAAAACGGTTGTGTTTATTAGAGGAATTAAAATAATATTTACAATTTTTTTAACAATTGTGTTGATTGATATTAAAATTCTACCGTGTAATTATTAGGATTAAGTTGTATATAATTGATGCAGTTGTTTTTGTTGTGTGTAATCTTCCTTCCATTGTGAAATCTTTTATTTGTCTGAGATAATATTATTTTTGATAAATAGTGTAATGAGAAAAGATGTCTACCTTCGATGAGAAAAAACAATCTGGCTTGGGGTAGAGATTTTGCATTCTTATTGAAAATGTGATCATTCCGTTTACTCTTGTAATATTTGTAGCAGTTTCTTCGATGGACGGTTTCACTGAAACGAAGCAATTTATGATATACAATGTATAATTTTTTCATCATTTGCCTTAAGATTACCAAATCATGTCATGACTGGATCAATATGTCCCCAAAGGATGTTGAGAATGTGTATACAAAATGAATGTTATCCCGATATTATTATACCGTACAAATATAAGTGTTTCTAACAGTATACCGGTATCGACTACTATATATAAGTTCAAAAACGATTTTAAACACAAGTACAACACGGTTTTCTTGGACAGTGTATATTTAAAAAAAAATTTCATAATTCGAAGTAGGTGAATGGTCATTGTCTGCCTTTGTAAGCCTTCAGAACCAATCCAAGGCTTAAAAACATATCAACACAGAATGTATGATTCAGTATAAATGTGAACATTTGAATTTGAAAAATCACATTGTTCAGCTGTGTTAAGTATTTATCGAAAAATAGTATCCACTTGTTAACAAAATATTAGTGTTTTTTTGATGTCTTGAATAACATATGTAAATTTTGTCGTACATTTTTCTTCGGGCCGTCCATCTTGCGCTGCAAGAACTGATAAATTTTCCTCATTTTGAGACCTTTCATTAAAATTGCAAATGTAAGAAATAACTTTTTTCCAAAAGAATATATATATATATATAAGTTTGCGGTAGTCATCAGACGCGTATTACAATATGTGGTTTCAACAAGAGTAAACAACTAAAAGTAAAATGTTTTCCGCATTTTGACTAATGGCATATAATTATATATGTAAGTTACTGGAAAATAATAAATTATTCCATTGTCTTTTTCGATAATCTTTTCATGTCTTGTAAGAATTAATCAAACTTAAAAATTAACTTACTAACAAAACTTTCTTCTCTCATTTCTAACTTCTTTTCAAATAGATCAAAACCCGATTCACATTTATAGTTGATGTTAACATCTGTCATAACAATATTGAAAATTGTCAGTCTATAGTACGTAATGTTTCCTCTTGGTTCTACCGATGCCGAATATTTCATTGGATTCGAAGGGCTTTTTCCAGTTGCAATTATCATTGCTTTTGGATCTCTTATCCATGCCATGTGATTAGTATCAGGATTTTGAATAATACAACAAAGAGTAGCATTACTCCCGAAGACTGCTGGATTTGTCTGAAGACTCCATGTGACTATTAAAATAAATGTTTAATTTATTTCAACGTATGTTTTGGTAATTGTCAGTATTTGGTGACCTTAGACGTTTAATGATTAGTAAGACACTTATCTTAAAAAATGACATTCATTCGAAGCACTAGTAAACGAATTTAACATCGTTTGAAATGTCTAAACAATAACTTGATAAGTTATGTTCAGTCTTTCAGTCAATATTAGCATGTTTTAATTGCGTAAAATTCAGAACTGTTCAGACAATTCTCTGGCTGTCAATTCAGTCATGTCAGTACTGTTATTTAGCTTTTCAGACAATTCAGTATGTTGTTAATCTGTAAAGGTAAACAGCTAACGGACAGTGTGAACATATACTGAACAGATCTTAATTGACTTCAAGCTAATTGTCTGACCATTACTGAATTTACCGCGGCGGATAAGTCTGAAAATTGACTGAAAATGACTAATAATTTCTTGTTCAGTCTTGTTAAGAGCTGTTCAGATCATATAGCACTTTTACTGTTTCTTATAGATCCTTGGTTTTCAAATATTCGGCTCTGGCGTTCCTAACGAAGTTAAATCAAGAAAATCGCTTCAGAAGCATGAAGTTTATAAAGTGTTGTTTTATTTTTACAAATTACCTTTACTTGAAACTGCATTATTTTCTCCTCTTGCAAAAGGGATACCACATATTAAAATCAATGTAATAAGTGCTTCGAAAAGTATGCGATCACTGAAAAATAAATTAAAAATTCCAATATTACTACTTAAAATGAATCTTCTTGGGTTTTGTAATCCTTATTCATATTCTTGAAAGAAATGCAATAGAATTGAACATATTTTATTGATCATTTTCAGTAGGCTGTAATGTAAATCAATTTTACTATATTTTTTTGAAGACAAGCTGTTTTTCTGTTCACAGTCGGATATTTTCCGTTATATATAGTACATACCTTGTTGTTTTCTGACCGGGTCGTGCATTACAAGCCATCGACTGACAAAAACTGTTACCTTAAAGTAGATTTATATCAAATGATGTGTTTTGATAAATTTTATTACACTAATGGATGATTTGTGTTCCTTTTGATATTTTTTTGTGTATGTTTTGATTCCATTATCTGACTTAGCTACCAAAAAGTTTTTTCTTTCTTTGATATCCTCTTATATTCATTTTCATACAAAATTGTTTTTAATTTTGTTCATACTGAAAATAAATATATACCTGAAGATCAATGACCAACATTACATCCTTTAGAATAATAAAAACAAATCAGAACTGTATTTTATATTTTTACAAAGACGACTTAACTGGCATTTCTTGATATGTTGCATACTTTTTTTTCAGAGATATTATAAATTAGAGTTAAAACAGAATATCTTTGGTAGGCACCTTCATGTGACTTAAGTCCATGACATGTCTGTGTATTTTTCGATTGCAAAGTAAACACGCTGTCATAAGATATAACATATAAACACAAAACGAGCATTATTTTTCCAATTCTTTGCTTCACTATTGCACACATTCTACTGCATTTATTCCACAAAAAGTTCTGCTTTGCCTCTATATTCCTAAAACTGCTCAGATTTGCCATATTTATTGGACGCAAAGGTAAAAGAATAGGGATTAAACTCTTGCAAAGAGACAGTCTTTCAATTTTAATTATTTTATCATGCCTTATCAAATGACAGAGGTTTATCTACAGTTAAAATAGGAAACTTTCATGGTTTTATAAAGACAGACTTGTCTATATTTCAAAGCTTACCTTTTAGACAATTCCTACTTAGAGACGTCATCTCAAGTATGCATTTAATCTTTTTGTCAGTGGAAGAAAAGTTCTCTTTGTTGTCTTCATGTTGATTGGACACCTTTTTATTTTTATCATTGCCTGTTAGGATTTCGTTGATTGCTTTTGTAAGAACTATGCCCTCTTTCTTATTACAAATTGCCGTAACTGCATTTTTATTATCAACATCATCATTTGTTTCAAGGTTTTCAACAACTGGCTGCATACCATTTAAAACAGCATTTTCTTCTATGCTTTCACTATCGACCTCCTCCCCGTACATAGCAACATTTAAGATTTTACTATCAACCTCTTCAACATCAATATCATCTGTTAATCGCTGTATTCTACCAGTAGTCTCTTCATCTAATGTTACAACTTCCAAGACTCCCTGTATACTATCAATATCACCATGCTTTTCTTGAATGGCAACACTTTGTGTTTCTTTTACTGCCTTTTTATCGGAAATTTCATCTTTTCCTACTTTCACTCCATAAGCTGATATTTCACCAACACCTTCAATATAATTTTCTATTGCCTTAGCTGCTCCACTTTCACAATCAATTTCATCATCATTTCCTGAAATTTCAACATCTTCCCCTTTACCATCAATAGCAAAAGCTTTACGTAGAATTTCACCAACGACCATTTGACCATCATAATCATTATTTTTTCCTTGAATGTCAAAAGCTTTGTTATCATTAAAATCAATTTCCTTTTCTAGTATTTCACAAACTACTTTTTCACCATCAATTTTATCTTCTTCCTCTGGCTCTTCACACCATTCGCCAAAAATATCCTCAGCCTTTCTTCGGATTTTATCAGCCGCCTTTTTACCATCATTTTCATCGTCTTTTCCTTGACTTTCGCTAACAGCATATTTATAATTTATATCATGTTCATTTTCTTGGGTTTCATTAGCTGCATTTTCATTCTGTTTTTCCAGTGGATACTCATCAACTACTTCTCGGTCATCCATATCAATAAAATTAGAACCGTGTTCTTTTTCTTGCATATCAACAACTTCCTTTCTATCATCAATATTGCCTTTGCTGTCTTTGGATTGGATTTCATTATTAACCTTTGTGTCAAAATAATCTTTTTCGGGGTTCTCTTTATCTACAACATCAAATCAATTCAAGTTTTCTAACCATCATGTAATGCCTTTAAACGGCTAAGCGTTACGGAACCTCAATCTAATTCTATTATATTAGCTTTGAGTGTGTAGGGAGAGTGTTTTATAACATTTAAGAGCATTATTTATTGGTTTTAAACGAACTCATCAATTTGATTTGGTTTCTGGTTTAAATGATTGTTGAAGTTTTTTTTTATTTATTTGTAACAAGATTTTTTTAACTTGAATATTCATAACAGTAGCGAACGCAATTATTCATCAACTTAAAGAGTATAAGAATAAAACTACCTAGTCAATTTCAGTCTTGGTTTATTTTCAAATAGGTTTCATATAGATATAATCAAATGTATCGAAAGAACAGTGTAAAAGGCAAATTGCTGAATGTACGCTTAAGGAAACTATGGAAAAAAATTGAAGAGCAAAGGTATAACCAAAGCAGACTTAAAAAGCATAAATATACATTGTATATTAATGTGTTCTTTTCAATTAAACTTACAATATTCAACCAATTCTACCTATTCTTATGTAAATATAGTTAAAAATTGTGTCTATGTTAAACTTGTTATAAATACTTTTATTTGGTATTAGATACTTTTACTTGGTTTACCTGTTAAGTCAAGCACATATTCAACAGCGCAATGTCTCTTCTCATTATGTTGCAGATCGGATATTGTGTCATATCTCTCAGCGTCTTTACATGAAAAGCAACCATGCATAATAATGATATTGGTATTACATGCAAACGTATAAATTTCACATGAACTTATAAAAGATATTCCTTACTTAGACCGATTAAGATTTTTTCAATAACTAACACAATTAGATAGTATGACGATTTACCAGTTATGGTGAAATGAAATGACATGCCCAAGGTTACTTGTTTATGATAGAAATTATCCAAATAATTTAAGAAACATTACTAAAATCTAATTATATGCAATTGTATTCATGTAAGATACCTTCACTCCTATCATATATATGTTCTTTAAGGGTAGGTTCTAGGCAAAAGATATCTGAGCTGTTGATTTGTTTATTTTGTTCCACAACAGTAAAAGATATGTAAATTACAATTGTATATCTCTTTCAATTGAATTGTAACTATGATGATGATAAAAAAGGATTACTTGTTGAGTCGATATATTGTATCTAACAGTTCAATATAATTGAAATATCGGTATTTCTTTGGATTAAAACTATTGTATATATTTATTCAAATACACTTACTTTACTTTAATCATAGGCTAAGTATTTTCAGTAGTTTATCAGTTAAAGTGATGACTTCATTTTATAAAAGGATAAAACCTCCTGAATAAGCACCATAATAGAAAAGAATAAAAAAAAAAACATTTGCTGTCAACAGCAGTTTTATGGACGAAAAAGGTCGTAAACAAGGCCAACATCAGGGTTATTACGTTCCTGACTGCTCTTTACCGGTCATATAGATGACAGAACACAGGTAGACGGACAAAGTATTTAATACATGATTGTTTGTAATTTCATGTCGCAGAATGTCTATAGTTACTAAGAGCTAGCTCAGAGGTAATGTGGCGTTCACACAGTGCCGATTATAGCTCCCGTTTGAGATCAGACAGCGCTAAGACACGAAAAGTGAAAAAAGTCGGGTTACTATCCTGAATGATCTGGAATGTCCTATCAATGTCTGAACGCAGTCGTATACGTTCGTAACAGATTCCTATCGATCGGGAAAGGTACGGAGAGGTCGGCCAAGAACCCCGAAAGTTAGGTGCGTCCCGTAACATTCGGGAAAAATCAGTTGATTTTGTCTAGTCGGATTACAATCGTGACTATGTCGTGACAGATTCTGCTGTATCGGATCAAAATCGTAACAATGTTCTTTGTTTTCTGGACGGTGTCCTGTGGAACGGGCATGATCTAAAGAAATTTGTCAGTGCTTTTTTTTTGCCAATTGAGTCCAGATTGCATCCAGATCTTGCCGAATGCGAACCGTCTTTGCCGAAACCATTCCGGAACAGTGCCGTTATTAATACGAAATTCGGCAATGATACCCACGTCAGAGTCCCGAAAATTACAGAACACAATACGACTGAGTCCAGACAAAGCTATTTGCAATGCGATACAGCAGACTGTGGTAGGATTGCGTTCCGACAGTACCTGATCATTCCGAATATGGCGACGGTTTTCTATCGAATATCTTCCGTCAGCGTCGGTTCACTGTCTGGTCACTGTCTGGTCACTGTCGGATCTCTGTTGGATCACATTCGGTAGAATCGGAACGCTGTCGGGACAGATTCTGTCGTTTTTAACCATGCCAAAGATACAAATCGGATTAAAATCGGATTGAGAACGGAATAATCGGGACAAATTCGGCTGGAAACGGCTGAAATAGGACGCTCCCTGGACAATATCTGATTGTTGGCGTGATTAAATAACTGTTTTTTACAAATTTTGATTAAAGGTTGAATATCCAGCCACGATTCACAGGATCTTGATCAGACTTTTAAAAAATTTTAATCTGGAATAGTCCTGTCAAGGACGGCTGTAAAAATCGTGAATGTGTGGCCCCGGCTTAATAAATTAAAAGATGACTACAAGAAACAATTGCTATGCCTTGCATTTATTGTTGGATACATCATTTTATCTAACTGGAAAGTTTCTTTTGCTTAAAATTATATAATGGCATCGAATTAAGATGACGGATATCAAAACTGTCTACACAGGAATTCCCAAAAGCACCCATTAAAGATCTCCATTTAATTTAATACCGCTATAAATACATCTGTCTTAAAATTTAAAGACAGTCAAGTTTCTCAACGGTTGCAAAAGCCTCAGCTAGGAAACATATTAAGCGCCAAATTTTATGGTGACAGATATCAATTGTGCCCATGTTTGGATTTAAGTTCATCAAGAATATTTTATTTAAAATAAACATTAAAAACGATTTTCATGCGAACAAATATACTGAAAAGGATAAATCAAAATGTGGAATTAAAAAGACTCTTTTGTTTGTACTTTTGACAATATATCAATTGTTAAACAAGTCAATATTCGACTGTCAAATGTTAAATTATGAGTTTTAAAAGGGCGTTATTTTAATCACAAGTGAAATAGAAATCCCAGTAATAAATGAGATATCAAAATGATGAGATACAGTACTTTAAGTTAAACACAACTTTGTAATAATCTGTACCTTCGATTGTGTCTAATAATTCCGTATTGCTGTCCTCATCGACAAACAAAAAATCGCTGTCAGAATTGTTATCTTGTTCAGATATTTCCTCGTCATCTTTCAATTTGGAATCTGAAAACAAAAAATGAAATAAAATCACACCTTTAATAGAATTGTCTTAATCAATTACAAAGCTGTACATGCTTTATCGCTTGAATTTGAACAGTGAACGACCGCAATTTCTAAAATAAACATGATCGGTGGGAAATATGCATATAGACCTTATTACCAATGCGTTATGTGGTCCTTTTCCGACTGGTCGAGTTTAGGCGACGTGGATCTAGAGATATTGACATAAGACAAATTAACACAGAAAACGCAATGTGTAAATAGTTATTAAGACATTTTATTCGTATTTGGTTAATTAAACAATATTCTTCTATTCTATAAATGAGGTTGTCGGTGTCTCGACTCACTAGCGACATATGTTTGCGGTCTTAGATCTTAAGGTACATTTATCTGCTGTCGTATGATCGTTATTTAACCGATTGTGTCCTATTCTCGATTGTGATATTTTGACTGAATGTGGATTCGCAGGGCGGGTGATGCACGCATAGAAGGAGACGCTTACATTCTCGACGAACCCAGTCTCGCTCCTATTGGAGATCATGCGATTCCCTCAGTTTGTTTTTGTTACCTCGATTAGTCTCTTCTTAATCGATTTACGAGATTTGAATATCGGAAGATTACAATCACCATAATTTCCTTATAACGACAATAATTAGGAAATGTCTCATGTGACTTATTTATGGTAACCAGTAGACATATATGTCCAGTTAAGTTTTAGTTCTCCTTTTTCGTTTTTTTTATTTATTTGTTTCGTGTCTGTTTCATTAGATTCCATTACTGTGGGTGTTGTTTTTTCTGTATCAAATTAAAATTGACACTATACCTTGTCTTTCGTAAAGCACCAGCTCATTGTCATTTTCGATGGAGTCTTTTGTTAACCCATTGTATTGATACAATGTATTAGGCGTCTCATCCGTGCAATCGAAATATATTTCGCCTGCAACAAACCAGAATAAATATATTACATATAGATATAAGATTTACATATTTATTTAGTTTTTTGTATATATTTTTTTACAAAAACAATCAAAACGTTTGTGTTACGACATAATACTCACACTCCGCAAATACAAAAAAATTATTCCGCACAATTAACAAAAGTTCTTGTGACGACAAATAACATTAATTCATATTTTACTTTATGATATAGTAGCAAGGAATATTGTTATTCAAGATATGACAAGTATAAGTATAAATGTATAAAATAAACAATTTAATTATAAATTCACATTTACATTTTCGGAGATTTGCAAATAATTTTCTATAAAAACGTAAGTTCTTGTTTTGTTTTACCTCCAATAAGAAATAAAATAAAAATGTTGAGATATTAGATAAAGTCTTTGAAATTGTTTGTTTTTCCCCCCTTAATTTGGTTAAATTCGACTACCTTTTGTATAACACAATTTATTCAAATTAAATTGATAAACTTGTATATTTACCATCTGATTCACTTCCATAATCAAAATCTTTTGGTGTGCTTGCACATGATTTTCCGAGACATCTTTGATTGCTTTCAGTCACCACACTAGTAGAATTTGAAATATTGTGTGTTACGTTTTTATTTTTTTCATCTTCTGACATTTCTAAAAAAAAATGATAAAAATGTATCAGTGTATTAATTTCTTTATAGTTGTTCACCAGTGATGATATTCTCTTACAAACTTAGAACATTGTAAAGTGCTCAAGGCTCAAATGATCTCTTGATTGGTTTTATTCAAGAATTTGTTTCATTGTCAGTGCAATGTTTATAATTAATGGATGACTCCCTTTGTAGGTATATCATTTATATATTAGTCTAAGTGATGTGAGGTCTTACTTTTAGTTTGTGAAATTCTAATAAATTGTGTTTTAGACATTAGTTGACACAACTGTACAATGAAATGGTAGAAATTGGATAAATTTCGTAATTGTGAGTGAGTGTAAATTATGTAATAATTTAATGAGGAATTACCTTTTTGTTTATTTACAGTTCAATTTTATAAATTCAGAGTTACAACTAAATTGCATTCCACAACCAATTTTATTCCAGCTTTTTACATCAAATACTTTTTAATTAACTTGAATTTAACAATTAAAAGAAAATGTTTTTTATTATTAAGAAATTCAAAAGTTACATTTGTAATTCGATTTCATGTATGTACTGGTATATTGGAAATGACTATTCCTACTAACTACAGATACAGTAATCTGATTTTTGGTAAGTGTATTAGCTTAAGATATAGATTAAATTTGATTTTAGATTTTTTTTCTTCTTTCACATTGCTTTGATATTGCTTATTTGTTTTGTAATTTTGAAGTTCTAAATATTCACATAATAACATAAACGATATCAATTAGACGGCACAAGTAAACTTCAAACTTTTTTTTTCTTTTTTTGTTTGTTTCAAATTTCAACTTTCATTTTATAATCCGGTCGATTTGATAAATGTGCTTCGGGTAGATGTGACTCATTTATATAAATTCTTTGTTTTGAACTGTAAAAAGGCCTAAACAATAGGATAATCCCCGGCTAAGAACATGTTTACATTCATTCTTCACAATTAACGAACACCAAATTCTACACTTCGATTGGTCGAGAGCACTTTGCTACATGTATATTCTAAAGCTAATTAGACTACAGGTGTGGTTTAATTTATAATCGTATTCAATAATGAACGGAGAGGATATGATAAAGCCTCGTATCAACCCCTTGAAACTTTTAGAATTTAGGAGAAACATGCTCTTTCTTCTCCTTTTTTTACAAACGTGTAACCCAGACAATCCGAAAGGGTCAAACTTGAATAGTCTTTACGAAAGAATCAGAATAAATTCGTTACTAGATCATATACACATATAGTGCCTCGGTGGTCAAGTGGTATAATCAGTTCATCTACACGGATCACTAGCCTGTCAACTCTAAGAGAGTGAGTTTGACTGGGCTCGTAATTGACAAAGATTGCCAGTTTTCCAGTTTCCGGCCGAAGGTACTCTGGCTTCCTCCACCAGCAAAAGCTGGTCGCCATGATATAGCCATAGTTGCTGAAAGTTGCGTTTAGCACGAACAAACAAAGAAACAGAAACATAAAAATTGTCTATATTTTTAACCTTTACTGTTTAGTCCATTTTTGGTAATATACTTTTGGCTTGGCTCGGTATTTATACATCACGCCATTGTGTTATTGTGCTTATGTGATTTTTTGTATTCTTGTCTTTCATTATTGCTTATGTGCTTGTCTATAGAGTGTCTACATGCCATTTTGTTTTTGTTTGTTGACATAGTTGTTTGTTTTTATAGTGATTAAGATAATAACACCTTGTTGACTGCTGTACCCTACTTTTTTGACATTTTTACCTATTATGTCTGTTTGTTTTGCTCACACATTGTTGTCAATATAATGGAATTTTATGTAACTGTCATACAAGTGAGAAGTTAAGCTAGCTATAAAACCAGGTTTAATCCACCATTTTCTACATAAGGAAATGTTTGTACCAAGTCTGGAATATGCCAGCTGTTTAATTACCATTCGTTTGATGTGGTTGAACTTTTGATTTTGACATTTGTTAAGGGACTTTACTTTGGAGTTCGGTATTTTTTTTATTTTACTTTATACACTGTAGTTTAATTGTATCTTAAGTGAAAAGCGGTTTTTAATATACACACAGGATATATGCTGAACTTGTTTCTTCTAAGATGTTTGCCTCGCATAATCATAACAATTACAAGTGCTATGATCGTGTTGATTCTAAAATAAGGGACAGTCTGATAAAAAGGGTATCATTAAAAACAATCGTTTACCTCTGTTTGCTCTTGTATTTCCTGATTGTAATGCATTTCTGGAAATAGAAGTGCAAAATTTATCATTTGATTTAGGTTTTAAAATGCACGTGAATATCAAATATACATTTGTAACTCTAACAATTTTTTAGGCAGATGCCATTTAAAGAAAATAAGCACGACATAGAGATGTTGACAAAGATTGTAGTTACATGACACTCTTATTCACAATTTGGAACAGAACTAGTTTAGAGGCAAAAATATTTTTATGTTAGAAATGAAACATAATTTTCATACAAAAATCCTCAAACCGGTTCTAAAGACTGTCATGTATTTGCTGTGAGTTGTGAGCCTTTGGTTTATGTTGAAGGTCTCACAGTGAATTTGTAATAAAAGCAGTAATACAAGTGTATATAGTAGTCCTGGATTTGTTAAGTGCGTGTATGGATTTTGTTACATGAAATATATTAACACCATTCTGTTCAGTTTAGATTTGTCACATGTATGGCAAACTTTTAGATCACATATCAATTTAAAACACATTAGTTCCCATCAGACCAATTAATTCATCTTGACTACTACAGAAAAATACCTCTGGGATATAAGAATCGGAAACATCGACACAAGACCAGTCACATAATATACCATTTACTAAAGTCTTATATTGTTTCTTTAACTTAACTAACTCTTTTTTGCCGATGGAATCTAGAAAATAAATCTTCACTGTGTTGCTATAAACTGTATCTTGTACATAATTTTGCAATTAATTTCAACTTACGTATGAACAACTGTAGCGTTAATATTGTCTGGAACCATGCTGTATGTTGTTTATTTCTCCATGCAAATATCAAATCTGTGGAAAATAATACTAACTGTCAATACAGAGATATAATTTGCAGATGGAACATAATCACAAATTTGAAAAATTGTTGATGTCGTCGCCGCTGCCGCCAAAACCGGAAACAGAATAAAAAGGCTTACGTCTCACTTTCACGACTTTCGTCACAGGCGTAACAATAATTTAAAAAGTCACAGAAGTAGATACAGATATTTTCACAATTTAAAACTAAAAATAAAACACTTTTAAATCAGATGTCTCCGAAGCGTTTTTCCATTATTTACCTTCACCGGGAATGGATGTATAAGACCCGAAACTCTTGAAGTGCTATATTACCAAAAAGTACAGGCTAGTGAACAATCGTGAACTAAAAATGTACTTTTTCATGATATTCAAATTATTTCTTCATATACAATTATTTTAGAAACCAAACCGTATGCCCTTCTGATAATCATTAATCTATAATTTGTTGTGTTCCTAAAGGGCATGACGGGAATCCCTCATTTATTTTTCTTGTGGTATTTAGATAGGATGACGGGGGAACGTTTGTAACCTTACTTTTATAGTTAAATAAAATTGAACAGTAAATTGAAGACAGGCTTCATTAGTACCAATTCTATTCCTACATGTTTATCTCGGGCTAACTTTTAAGACTTGCTCTAGTGATTTATTATATGGTCTTTATATTTGAAGAATCTTCTTTACAATTAAACAATGCAATACATAAATCTAATATCTTCATTCCAGTTTTTACGTATTGTATCAAGAATCGAATTGTTCATGGTGAATGATTTGCAAAAGAGGATAATTATTTTCAGCGAAAGTTCTTTGCATATTAAATTTCGAAATGTTATTCAGACTATCCTGTTATAGATTAAGACTAAACAAATTTGCTACTGCATTGCGAAATGTCACACATCGCTATATTATTGAGGAACAAAATTGTTTTTTTAGTATAAAGTTGTACAACAGGAACAAAGATTACATTATAAAGTGCATTTCAAGCTTTTATTTAATGCTAGAAAAAAAGAAGGTCAAAGTCCCATTCTCTAATAAAAAAAAAAGTTGAATCAAAATAACGGTACAATGTGATCAATTACACATGATGCAATATAAAACAATCATATAAAGTAGATTTGAGTTCGCAAATTGGATTTTGAGTTCGCAAATTGGCATTGTTGTACAAAGTAAACAAGTTGCTTTCTTAAAAAAAAAGGAAAGCAATACGAGAACCCGAAACCGCTGAAAAAAAATATTTGGCATTTGATTTGAAATAATTGACTATGAATATAATAAGGGTAAGGATGATGTTAAAACGCCTTTATTGAAAATATATAATTGTGTGTAGATTCTTTCACAAGTCAATTAAAAGCACTGTTGGATTTTAGTTGTAAATAGAAAAGTGTATACAGCTAACATTTGAATTTACCTTTTAAGGCTTGATTAGTTTATTTATGACTTGGGAGTGTACACCCTTTTTCTTCGTATTAAATATACAAAGTTGCAATTCCCAGTTTCTAAAAACCGGATGTCTAAATCAAATTGCACAGACCAATCGCAATGTAAATTTCAGCACTCAGTTTGCTTTATAATCTGTGTGCATCTATCTTATCTTTCATATCTTCATATTTAGTTTCCTGGTTGCCTTCAATTATACATATACTCATTATCGAAGCTGTCTGTGCTCATGGTAGAGGTAGTATATAAAAATTGAAAGTCAAATTTCCATGTGAAATATAACTCTGTGGCATGCAACTTTTCGTATTTTGTTCTTGCGAGTATCACACCAGCTTCATTAGGACGTCTTATATACTGACAATTTTTTTGGTCTCATAAAACATATCAAATTTTAAGGATTTCCTGAAGTTAATTATCTTGACCCATCCAAATGGTCTACAGGAAAAACTTAGTTTTGAAGAATATCTTGTTTTCAGAAGTTTTATGAATACAAGAGTATGCTCTCAAAAAGAACAAATTTATATTAAAAGATATGTTTGATAAAAGTAAATAAACTATTATAGATACCAGGATTATCATTTTGTATGCCAGACACGCGTTTCGTGTACAAAAGACTCAGCAGTTGCGCTCGAATCAAAAAGCTAAAAGAGCCAAATAAAGTATGAAGTTGAAGAGCATTGAGGCATTTCAAAGTTTATAATAGGACAGTCACTCAAAAAAGAAAAAAAGAAAAGAGATACGAAATGCGAAAATTCACATTCCTCGAGCGAAATTACTATAGTTGCATGCACGTGGTTTTCTTGAGCAAGAAATAGTAAATGGAAAGCATACACTCTAATATTATGGATTAGAATCATATGCATTTTCGTTATCACATATATTTATTCTAGGCTCAAATCTAATGTTCGTTGAATATGGATGTCAAACTACCGCAAACCGATATTGTTGTCAAATCGAATTGTGCTGGGTGAACAGGATGTAATATAACGTAAATGAACCAAGACGTGTTTAGAATTGCTGGTCAACACAATGCATACAATTTTCAAAATCGCATCATATTGCAAAGAATTAGATGATATAAAGTTGAACTATTAATAACATACAAAAAAATTGAAATTTGATTCATTCCTGTTGATAAATCTTTTTCGAAAATTTTTAAATGTACTATCAATAAACACAAACGTCACGTTATAGCTGATGGACATTTTGTAATCAAATCAATCTCTTCTTCCAAGTCTAACTTTCCATATTATGAATATATTACTATACAAAATATAAGTAGAGACATATAAAACCATACTAAAACGGTGTAAAATAATTAAAGTAGTAATTGAATGATTATTGTAAAATATTAACTAAGTTTTTTGTGAGATGCAAGGATTTAAAATCCTTGTAAATTGAAACAAGTATATTTTGTTTTCATTAAGTACACTCAGTTTAAATTTAAGATACTAATTTATTTGTGTACATTCCTGACAATTGGTGCTCATGTGTTGCATACAATTTTCGTAAATGTATTCACTGTTAAAACCTGTGGGACATATACTATAAAATAAACGGAGAATGTGTCTTTGGTCACAGATGCCCCCGCTTTCAAATATGCATGAGTCAACTTCCACATACAGATGCAGGATTCACGTAGTTAAGAACGTTTTGTGATTATAAGCATTATGTATAAGTTTTATAATATTTGGTTGAGTCAAACTAAAGTTAGAGAACGGAAACAAAAAATTCAGCATTTTTTATGTTTATAAAGGGGCATAACTCATGAACGGTAATAGTGACGCCACCCAATTTCAAACTTGATCCGTGTTAAGTGGTAGTAATCATTGTTTATAAGTTTTATAACTTTTGGTTGAGGCAAACCAAAGTTAGTTAACGGAAACGAAAAATTCAGAAATTTATATGTTTATAAAGGGACATAACTCATGAACGGTAAAAGTGCCGCCACCCAATTTCGAACTTGATCTGTGTTTTGTGGTAATAAGCATTGTGTTTAAGTTTTATAACATTTGGTTGAGGCAAACTAAAGTTAGAGAACGGAAATTTTGGGGACGTACGGACGGGACGGACAATGGTAACACTTAATGCCCCCCTCCGCTACGGCGGGGGCATAATTATTAATTGCATTCTATTAATGATAAATTTAGTTTCAGTTTAAGTTGTCAGAAAACACCTGTCTGACTGAATATTCCCTTGGTCTGTTAGTATCTATGATAAAATTGAATATTTTTTACAGAAATATCGTTTTGTTTAATTATGTATCTGCTTTCCGACCATTGTGTTTCCGACCTAAGATAAATATTTTTAACAGAAATATAGTTTTGATTTTTAATTTTCTTCTTGTTTTCCGACATTTGCTTAGGCTGTGATGGAAATATGAAATATCACGTGTTAAACATTCAGAAATGATCAGTTTATTCTGGGACATAATGTATTGTCAGTATACTATTCCCATGTGTATTGTCACAATGCATAGTAGCACGTTGTATTAATTACTACACACAACGCGCACAGGGACTGTCTCAAAACATAAATTATATAATTACGTTATGATAATACTTCATATTTAATAAACATTCACATCAAAACGCATATGTTCTGTCAAAAGGCAAATAGGTTGGAACATTTACAGTATTTTTTTACTGCGATCTAGTCTTTAATATTTTATTTTCCGATCTACAAATGAACTTTGATTGTTGAAATATACAATGTCACGTGGTAGTCTACCATAGAGGGACTGTATCAAAGACATATTCACTACCTGTATAAATGATCGATGATTTTTGAGACGTTCGAAGAATCTTGTTTCCGAGGATATCTGAATGGCCCATAGACGCTTCCAAAACTCACCAGTATAACCCCTCACGGGGTTCACGCAAAAAGTTAAAAAAAACCAAAACAAAGTCCCGTATATTCAATATTAATGGTTAACTCAACTGAATGGTATCATATGATTAATTAAATATGGTGGCAAACGATCCTACCAAATATGAGAGTTTTCTGTCAAACGATCTCAGAAAATGTCTGCACACAAGGTGGCATTTTGTTTCAATAGTTAAAAATATTGGCAAGTCCGATTATTCCCGTAAAAGTGGCAAAATCAAAATGACGATATAAACAGCACACGATGACAAACAATCCTAGCAATATAAATAGAGAATGCATATGACCACTTTCCTGTCAATTAGTCTTAAAGGAGTTACGTTCACAAAATGTTAGTGTTACAACACTAAAAAAAAAAAAGTCCCATAGTCCCATAACTTTATAGATACTAGGTGTTTGAGCCAAAGATTGATGAGCCCGGGTTTTGTCAACTTGTGACAGCGTCTCGTCCTTTTTCTAAATATTTATAAGTTCATCGGAAAGTACCAAGACATAATAGATAAATATGCTGTGTCTACTTCACAAATAATACAAGATGGTCTCCAGTTATAGACTCTAGGTGCTGAAGTTGTGTATCTATTTATTCACTATACAGTTTTCCCTTTACTTGTCGTTTTGCTATTGTGTTCCTTTTGGTCGTATGACTCTTGACGTGAATCAGTATTTATGCATCCAGCAATCGGGTTTTTTTGCTTTGGGCGTTCCTGTTGCAGGTGGGTCCACAGGTGCAATTTGGACGCAAGAGGTTTTTACAGTGTTGTTTTATTTTTTTTAACCCTTGTCTTTATATTTTACTTAATTTGTACTTTATCGAGAAAGTGTATACTATATACTGTATGTACTATCAACTACAAATACTTTTTTGTTGGCGTCTTTAACAAATTTACTATCAACTACAATAACAAATTGTGTTGGCCTCTTTATGAAATTTACTATCAACTACAAAAACATCTTTGTTAAATTTGTTTGTATGTTTGTTTTAATTTTTTAATCAGTTGTGTTGTATGTTTACACAGGTTTGGCTGCTAGATCCCAATTATTGTCACATTAACCTGTTATGTCTCTTTTGGTTGATCACCCAATTTTGTCAATATAACGAAACTATAAACAACTGTCATACATGTGGGAAGTTTAGCTAGCTATAAAACCAGGTTTAACCCACCATTTTCTACAAAAAAATGCACGTACCAAGTCAGGAATATGATGCTGATTGGGTTTTTCTATTCGTTTGTTGATAAAGTCTCATGTTTGATTTTTGTCAATTTAACAGACTTCTCTTTTTTTGAATTTACCTTGGATTTTTGTATTTTTTATATACTTTTTTATAACTTCCGTAACAATGGTAAAATACATGACGGCATAATATGGTCAACAACATATGATAGCAAACATTAGAGCTTTCTGTCAAATGGTCTCAGAGCAGTTACGTTCACATCTTCGCTAGCCAAGGGTTACGATCGGAGAGGAAGGGACTGGATCGCAACCCTTGGCTAGCGAAGATGTTACGTTCAAAGAGTGTAATTGTTACAATACTCCAAAAAGTTCAAAGTCCCATAACTCCCGTAAAATCGATCGAATCAAAATGAGGTTACAATATGGTCAACTTAAAATAATGGCAAACAATCCCACCAATTATGAGACTTTTCTGTAAAAGAACTGACATAAAGATGAGTTTCTATTACAAGATGTCATTGTTACAAAAGCCCCATAACTTCCGAAATATTCAAAAAACATTTGACAGTAGAACAAACATTTTATTTTAAAGATAAAGATTTAGGCAACGACCATTCATCTTTGTAAGGGATCAAAGTCTTTTTAAAAAAATAATTTTTATTTAAAAGTACTTGAAAAAAAGTGATTTCATTCAGAATGGAAGCGGAACAAAGAGTTTAATGCCATAGAAAATAGGAACAAAAAATTTTACTTTCAAAAAAAAGTTTCAAAAAAGAAATCTCGTTCCAGTATGTTATTAAAACTATAGTTTGTTATTTTAATAAAGGCCGAGTCCCCCTTCCCCCATTAAAAAAGTATGGCTGGTTATGTTTTTTTTTACTTGATAACACTGTTATCTTATCTGTATTCACAACAAGACGTCGTTAAATGAAATTGGATACCCTGCATTTATCATGCTTTTCAATAACATATTGTCAAATAGCTGAAAGACCCCCTTCTAAATTATTGAAAACTATCATTCTGCATTGACATTAACATCTTAAATTGGTTTAAATGAGATACGTGTCACTCATCCGGGCTAACGGCCTCAAGGTGTATCTAATACATGCTATGACACAGATTATTTACTCGCTGGTTCTGAATATATATGTTAGGCCTTCGCACTCAGTAGACCCATGCTATGGACTTTTTATTTTATTTAAAGATTTTTAAATATTGGGGATTTTCACCTAATTGTGTCGATATGGCAGAAAACAATAGTGTTGGCTTTTAAAATACTAGTTTTTCGAAAACCTATTAATTTTTGGAGGCTTTAATTGTAACTAATATTTATACGATTTATTGATTTTATTCCTAATATCTAAACATCTGAATATATATGTTAAACATTCGCACTCATTTGACCCTATCTGGTTTATTTTTAACTTTGGACTTTTTATATTATTTATAGATGTTTTTAAAAATATTGGGGATTTTCACCTAATTGTGTCGATATGGCAGAAAACAATAGTGTTGGCTTTTAAAATACTAGTTTTTCGAAAACCTATTAATTTTTGGAGGCTTTAATTGTAACTAATATTTATACGATTTATTGATTTTATTCCTAATATCTAAACATCTGAATATATATGTTAAACATTCGCACTCATTTGACCCTATCTGGTTTATTTTTAACTTTGGACTTTTTATATTATTTATAGATGTTTTTAAAAATATTGGGGATTTTCACCTGATTGTGTCGATATGGCAGAAAACAATATTTTTCGAACACCAATTAATTTTTGGCGACTTTAATTGTAACTTATATTTAAACGATTTATTGATTTTATCCAACACAAAATAACGACTTTAATTAAAATCATTATAGACTATTAGCTGTCTATAAGACATTCTTACTTCTGACACCACAGTAAATTTTACAAATTTCTCTTTTTTTTAATTCATTTCGATCCAAGATAAGAAAACTAAATGCAATCGCATTCATGTTTATTAACTTGTGCACACACACACACACACACACACGAACAACACGCTAACATACGGAGCAGAACAAAACAAAATAAGCCACAAAAAATAACAAAATAACATAAACAAATTCAATAAAGTATTTCCTGTTTTTTTTCTCAATAAGCCTACAGGAAACGCATTGTCAGTTAGAATATCAGTTCAGATTAGTTACATTCAAGTCGATGAATATTTATAGTTCCGCGTGTTGTAAATAAGGAAATAAAATGTTTCCGGCATTTTTAAGTATGCATATTAAAATACAGATAGTATTATTTCCTTTACTACTCACAAATTGGTACTTACATTGTATAAGAGTTGACAGCATGCAAAAATTACAACTCACGTGATGAAAATCTCAGATTAATAAGGTATTTCCCCAGAAGACAAAGGTATATAACTCTTCGTGAATTATAAAGTCCGGTAGATTTAAATATAGTAAACATTCAATGTGATTTTCACATTTCAATAATGAAAATCCGTTATTGACCTGAGGAATCATGATCAACTAATGTTCAGCATCATTTTCGATGTTAATCGCTTGATATCCCAGTCAGTAAAGGAAAGAGTTAGGTTACTGTACAAGAAAGAAAGATAGTTCGGAGTTTGAATTTTTTTAAGAAAACATTTTATATTTTCTTTTCTTTTTTGGTTTCGTTGGGGGTGTATTCAACCTCTCCTTTTCCCCACTCTAACAAACTAAATCGGCCATCATTTGTACTGTACGATCGCGTGTTTTTTTTTAGCAGATTTTCAGCTGAAATATACATGTAGAATATTTTAGTTTTTACTTCTACAAAAGATTATGCTTATTTGATTCCTCCCACTCCCACCCCACCCCCACCCCAACCCAACATTTGTTAGCAATTAATGGTCGTAATTCAAGGTTTCTATCCCGAGGAATGTTTTTTTGTAAAAATGTAAAGCCGCGTGAAAACAAAAAAATCAGGACAATTGAAAACATCCTTAAAAATAAATTAAAACATAAGACACAAAACATAGAATTTTATCATTATTGTTTGGTGTTAAATTCATTGTATTTCAAGTTATTTTATATAGATTGTCATAAAAGTACATTCCAATACTCCTTATTAAGACACGACTAATAAAATTAGAGATTATGGTTTCAAGAGATCATTCATTTTGCTATTTAATATTTTCAAATTTCATTCATGAACTCTTCACGTACACTTATTAATACAAATTACATATAAAAAAAACATACAATGGACATACATGCATTTGGGAATATACATTATACGCCAGGAGTCAATTAGAATATAATCTATGTGTAAGGTAACGAAATTTTTCCTTTTCAGTCCAACAGATAATCGGAATTCTAATGTATATGTATTGTGTAAACTCAATAAAGACTCTTATACATATGATATTAAAACAAGTTGCTTTCATTAAAAAAAAGCAATACGTGAACCCGAGACCGCTGACTGGTCACCAAAAAATGTTGCTGAATTTTTGTTTGCTTTTGATTTGAAATAATTGATAGAATAAAGATAATGATGATGTTAAAACTTTTTTATTGAAAATATGTAATTGTGTGTAGATTCTTGCACAAGTCAGTTGAAAGCAATGTTGGATAGCTGTGAAAAGAAAAATGAACATATACTGCTACTATTTAAATTAACATTTTAAGGCTTGACTATTTTATTTATTACTTGGGAGTGTACATCATGTTTTTGCAAATCCCAGTTTCTGCAAACCATATGTCTAATGCAAATTACACAAACCAATCGCAATATAAATTTAAGCACTCGGTTTGCTTGCATTTATTGGGTGCATTTATTTTATCTATCATATCTTCATATTTTGTTTCCTGGATGCCTTCAATTATTCTTATACTCGTTATTGAAGCTGTTTGTACTCATGGTTGATGTTGTATAGATAAATTTAAAGTCCAATTTCAATGGAGAGTGAAACCCTGTGGCATGCAACTTAGAAGGTTTTGTATATTTTTCTTGAGAGTAACACACCAGCTTCATTGGGACCTCTTATAAACTGACAATTATTTTGGTCTCATAAAACAGTTCAAATTTTAAAGATTTCCTGGAGTTACTTAAATCAATCCAAATATTCTACAGGATAACTTAGTTTTGAAGAATATCTTATTTTCAGGAGTTTTATGAATACCTGAACATACTCTCAAAAGAACCAATTTATATAAAAAGATATGCAGATATAAAAAGATACCAGGATTAAAATGTTGTACGCCAGACGCGAGTTCAGTATACAAAAGACTCATCAGTGACGCTCGAAAAAAAAAAAAGAAGTTAAAAAGGCCAAATAAAGTACGAAGATGAAAGGAATTGAGGACCCAAAAGTTCGAAACAAAGGTTTTGCCGAATACATCTAAGGTAATCTATTCCTGAGGTAGGAAATCCTGAGCATTTCGAAAATGTCAAAGTTTATAATAGGACAGTCACTCAAAAAAGAAAAAGAAAAGAGGAAAAGCTAGAGGTCAGAATACCTTAAGTAATGATGACCATGCTTGAAAGTCACATGTCAAGCTCTTACTGTCGTGTCCCGAATTTAGATAAGAAAGGCGAAAATTCACATTCGTGAGTGAAATTAATACTTATGCATGCACGTGTTTTTTTCAGTAATAGTAAATAGAAAGCATACGCACGGATACTCTAGATAAGAATACGCATTTGCATCATCACATATATTAATCTTGGCTCCAATCTAATGTTTAAATTCGGATGTCAAACTACACCCCTCAAGTGTTTTGACTCCGGATTCATTGCCATTTAATCCGGAATTTGTGTGAACGCAAACCGAAAGTGTTCATTAGTGTGTTGTGTGAACATCAGCCGGTTGTACGAACGTGACATTAGCCTAATGGGTCATTAAGTCTTCATTATGCCTTTATGATGCATTAGGCTAATGAAGACTTGATGACTCATTAGACTAATGACACGTTCGTACAACCGGCTGCAGGGCGATATATAATGTAAATGAACCAGGACGTGTAGGATAATGAATACAATTTTCAAAATCGTACCATATTGCAAAGATTTAAATGCTATAAGGTTGAACTATTAAAAACAAAAACAAAAAAAGAATTAAAATTTAATTATTAACATACATTCCTGTTAATGAATATTTTCCGATAATTTAGATATAATATCAATAAACACAAACGTCAAGTATTTACTGGTGGACGTTTTATTTATCAAATCCTCTAACTTTACTTTCCACTATATTAATATATTGCTATGCAAATTATAAGCAGAGGCTTATATTAACGTAGTAATTAAGTTTTTTTATGATTATTGTAAAATATTAATTACGTTTGTTGTGAGATGCAAGGATTTAAAGTCCTTGTGAATTGAAACCAAGCAAGTATTTTTTCATTCACTACCATTTAAAATTTAGATACTTACTTATGTATATGCATCCCTGCTCATTGGTGCTCATATGTTGCATATAATTTTCATAAATGTATTCACTGTTCAAACCTGTATAGCCGGGTCTAATGGCGTTCCGGCTAAATTGAAATCAAGAAGGAATATTTCGCTCCTTAAACTTTTATTTTAGCAGTCCGGCAAGACCGAACAACAACTCCAAACCAAATGTAAAGTAACATACAAACAATAACAATATATATAAGCACAAGCAATTAAAGGATTAAGAAGATTAACATATGCCAAATAGAAATAACAATAGATTAGAAGAGTAATTAATGTCCGACACGTATAAGTAAATTATTGTCTAAACTGTTACAGAGAATAAATAATTAAATGGATAGAGTAAATGAATTTAAGTCCTTTGTCCAAGATTATGACACATAATCCGTGTAAAACACTTATGCCTAAATTTACGACAAAGTTCAGAATAATAAAATAAATGCAAAACAAGAATATACATTAAAACAATTGAATTCATAAAATGTTGTTTAAAAACTAATTTCATTGCACAGTCCAAATTGTCCGGTCATATATTCCCGCGGCCCTTGAAGACACGACCCGGGTCTTACTGTTCATCTTAAATTGTTCCGAAAGTTTCCTCTGTGGTTGTGGCGTCCTCTGTAACGATAGTTTTGGTTTGGATGATTATCTTCTTTTGTATTTTTCCGAAAATTGTCCAATTCGTCTTCTAGTTTGGTGATTCGATCCCGCATATGTTCTTTATCGCGTTGTAATTGGTATTGCTGGTCGATTGCTTCACATCTTTGATCGTAAATCCGAAAATTAGCTTCTTCAAGATCAGTAATGCGTTCCCGTAATTTTTCCATATCTTTTTGGTCATCTGCGTTTTGTTTTTGAAGTTTTTCTAGATTGCTAACAACACTGGTATGCTTTTGATTTAATTCTTTAAATTTCTTTTCATAGTGTACACTTTTAATTTTGAATTTAACTCTCTCGGAATTCACTCGATCGTGCCTGAGTCTAACGTTATCTATAAATTCCCTATTATAACCTAAGGTTGGAAAGAAGTCCATCAGTTCAATAGTATTGAGTTCCGCACAAGGAAAAATTGACATAGCTTTCTGTTCTTTGAATTTTATCATTCTTTCTGCGTCACGACGTAATTTCGATTTGGATTTAACCTTAACAACTTTCACGTCCGGTTGTCTGTGAAAATTACACATTCTGGCGTAATGTCCAAAACTTCTGCACGTATAGCAAAATGACGTTTTTGCTATACATTGTCTAAAATGAAATTGATTGTTCACAGTCTTTCCACAAAACTTACATAGGTAGTTGTCCATATGTTGAAAATTTCTTGTCTGAAAGGTAGTTCCATGATCAGACATCTGGTATCTCCAGTCTCGGCCAAAATTTCTGGTTCTCCGCGTATCCATTTTTCTGTTTGCTTCACAGGTAGAGCAAGGTATCCGATAGATGCGTTGCCCGGATGTCCTAACACCAGATATAGCCGGGTAAAATTTCGTTCCGGCTAAATGGAAATCAAGAAGGAATATTTCGCTCCTTAAACTTTTATTTTAGCAGTCCGGCAAGACCGAACAACAACTCCAAACCAAATGTAAAGTAACATACAAACAATAACAATATATATAAGCACAAGCAATTAAAGGATTAAGAAGATTAACATATGCCAAATAGAAATAACAATAGATTAGAAGAGTAATTAATGTCCGACACGTATAAGTAAATTATTGTCTAAACTGTTACAGAGAATAAATAATTAAATGGATAGAGTAAATGAATTTAAGTCCTTTGTGACACATAATCCGTGTAAAACACTTATGCCTAAATTTACGACAAAGTTCAGAATAATAAAATAAATGCAAAACAAGAATATACATTAAAACAATTGAATTCATAAAATGTTGTTTAAAAACTAATTTCATTGCACAGT